TACAGGGTGATCCAAAAAAAACAACAACTATACAACTTGTTTTGGAAATATCTTTCCCCATACTGCAGTTTTGCGTTTCAGATTTGAACAGAATATTTGGAAGCCAAAAGGAATTTGTCTGATATTCATTTTAGATTTAAGCCATTTCCGTTTTTAAAATAGGTTTTTTTTTTCGCAAATTTTACGTCTTTTTGAATGAATTTCGTCTGTTCCAAATTGCAGCATTCTAGAACAATTGATGTGCCAGATATCCAGAAAATAAAGTTGTACAGTTTTTTACATCTCCGTCTTATTGTCGGGACATTGTACTCATCTCGGCCTCAGCTGGTTCTGACGGGCAGGGACAAACACCCCCCCCCCCCTTTCCTTAATGATCTTATTTTGTGTTGATTAGGGTGTAAAACATCTACAATTCAAGATGTTTATTCTATTACAGTTTTGACCCTTTGGGCCATCGGTAAAATCGGTGGCACGTAAAACAGCCCGTACGCCTAGCCACCGGTACAGCGGTGAGCGAGACCCTATCCCCAAACCAGCCTGCCTGGGACAAAATGCGTACAGGAAACCGTATTTACTACAGAGGACGTTACTGATTACAGTATAACACGGATAGGTCGAACACCGAAGACTCGAAATCACACATCCATCGAACTGTGCCTGGGATCCCGTTCTTTTTCCACTTCTTTATCTTTATAAGCTATCCTTCGAACTACCGAGGCCTGTCCTGACAAATTCGAGCTATTCGTATTGTACTGTGTTCAGAAGACCTTTCTGTATTAGATGCTAGTAATGACGAGGACTACCCTGAGTGGGATTAGGAATGTGATTCTGACGATCATAATATAGGAATATTAGTAATATATATCGCTCAGGAGCTCAGACAGAGGGGCACGGTAGACCCAAGAGGTCATGACTCAAACGGTCACGGCACATGTGAGCTATCCCCGTGTACTGACCAGTGTCCGGTAGCAGCGGTCAGTGAGCGGCGTGATGACCAGGCGGCCGGAGTTTCCCAGGTACTCGTAGGCGTACTTGACCGTGGCGTTGGTGATGCGCACGCAACAGTTGGCGTCTTCCCAGTAGTAGCGGAGCTGGGACAGCCAGTTGAAGTCGTTCTCTGTACACACGCCTGGGGGGGGGGGAGAT